TTTAAAAAAAAAAATTAATTTTCTACATTCATTTGTGTGACCACTTACTGACCTTCTGAGGCAGGACACCTTGTAAAAACATAAAATACTGAAAAAGCAATATTTTAAACTTATAAATAAACAGATCTAATATTTTATTTTCACTGAGACAAGATTTACATTCAATTAAATGCTAAATTTTTTTCTTTTTTACATATTGCAATTATTACTTTTTTTTTTTTTTTTTTTTTTGAATTTTTTTTTAATTAGTGAACATACAATTATTTAGAATACACATAGCTTTACATTTGTCTTTATATAGATTGAAGTTTTATAAAAAAAGTCAAATGTTTTTTAAAAACTTGTAAAATTAGTTAATGAACTTCAAAATATTTTAGGATATGCTAAAAAATATATTTCATATTGTAATTTGAAAGATTAACTTTTTAAACCGTGGTACTTGGTTTTGGGTGTAAATAAAAGTGAGTAATCATATTTTGCATCAGTGTAAATCAATTTTAAGTTTGCTGATGTCCTGAAAAAGTGCTGTCATTATTTCATCTATTTAGACTTATCTTCATGTTTCTTATTTGGTCTTGCTTAGATGTAAGCAGGATTGAAAATCTTTATTTTTATTTATTATTTTTATAAAATCTCAGTATTAAAAAAAATTTTCCTTAACAATTAAAAAAATCACCAAAACAAATTAACATTAAATATCTGCAATCATTTAATACACATGAGATGTTTATTTAGTTTTTAATATTGTTTCAAGACACAGAGCATATATTTTTTCAAATTTAAAAATCATTTTTGACGGATACTTATTTTCAAATTTTGGAATATTTAAAATAATAAATTTGTATATCAATTTTATTTTCAAATTTACCATCTTTAATGTTTGATAAAATAATATTAAATTTAAAACATTAAGAAACTTTCTTTTAAAATTTGAAACAACATTTCTCATATTATATGTATTTAAAATTAAAAAGATATGCTTTGACCAAATTCATTTTTAAAGAAAAAAAAAACATTTATATATATATATATAAATTATATATATATATATATATATATATATATATATATTTATATATATAAAAAACCAAACATTATAAAAATAAAGACATTTGTGTTTTGGAAAAAGTTCTAAAGTTTTCATTGAAAATCCGACAATTATTTGATTTTTGAAAATACATTGAAAACAATGTTCTTTTCAACTAAAAACAACATGTCTAAAAAATTAAATCATTATCTTTCTTTGAATCCATTCTTAAAAAATCCAAATTTTAAACATGATACAAAGAATACATTGTTAAAAAGGCTTTAAAAAATATGGAAATAAACTTTTTTCTGCTCAAACTGTGTTTTTGATTAAAAAGGTGAAGATAAAACTCCCATGCTAGACAGTTTTTGGCAAAAGTTGGACAAATTACAGGCATTATCATCTTTTCCCAAAGTTCAAACATAAGAATTTTCATTAAATTTTTATATAAAGAATTATCTATGGTTTTAATACACATTGAGACCAATGACAACTGATTTAAACATAAATTGAAAATACCAGTGTTTTTGTTTTTTTTAGTGTGTTTCATCTAAATATTTTTTGAAAAGATTTGAAATGCAAAAAGTTTTTAAATAATGCCTTGTTACTTGAAAACAATTTTCCTATTTATTCTCTTAGAATCCTGTTGGATTCTGATCCATATTTGATCTGCATTTGATATTTAAATTTATTGGAAATTAAATATTTTTTTTACTAAAATGATTTAAAACTCCTCAAACTTGATAAAAACAAAGTTTTGTCAAAATGTTTATTATTAAGAGGAAAGACCAAAGTATTTTTAGCAGGAATGGTATGAACTAATTCATGAAAATCAACAGATAATATGCTGTCAATAAGTAAAGACAAATAAATGATTATATATGGAAGAAAGTTATTTTTGATAACAATTAAGGTCTGTATTTTTTGGCATTAAAATCAATCAAAAATGGCCATTTCTGACACCTTTGTAAACAAGGTTAATTCTTGGTTTTAAAATTCTTGCAAAAATAAAATATATTTTTCTGAAATGTTATTTGAGGAAAGTTAGCAAATTTAAAGTTAAATTAATCTGTTTTGAAACAAACATTACTTGTAGCATAAAATGCATACAAACATTTAACCACAGGCACTTGTTTTTCTGATGTGTTGATTTATTAACATTTGATTAACAGCTGAATATATTCATAGTTCAGTATGATGTAGCAGATGATTTTTTTTTTAATATGGGGATGGGGGTGAACACTTAAAATACGTAACCTTTTAATGATAGATTTATTGATTTGTACACCTATACCCTAGAAATTCTGTACATAATAAAAAATTGAAATTCTTATAAAAATATTTGGGGGTTGTCAAATTGTAATAAGTTTTACAATATATAATTAGTAAATATAGTTTTACTTAAGAATTAGCTCATTGAAAATGAATTTTAAAAGATTTCAAAACTTTATGAATTATTCAATTTAAAATTATATAAAAAAATGATAACAAATCTTGTAAAAATTCATTTTTCATTAAAAAAAAAAAATTTTTCTTCTTCAGAAAATATTGCTTTCATATATATTATTAATAAAAGCAATAAGGAGATTCTCTAGTTAAATAATATCTTAGTTTTATTGCATTTTTAAATTTAGAACAGATTTTCAGTAAGACCATGTCCAATTTTACAAAAAAATTGATTTAAATTCATCAAAGAAATTCTGCTGTCACTAATATAGTCACTAAAAATGAATTTCCCAAATTTTCATAAAATTAAGAGGCTGAAACATCTGTAAAAAAAAAAACAAAAAAAAAGATTTTCTAAAAAAAAAAAAAAAAAAAAAAAAAATTGATTCATTTGTAAGTCCTGAAAATTTCATTAAAAACTGACAATTATTTGATTTTTGCAAGAATTTCCAAATTAATATGTCTGCAAAAAAGAGGCGAAAATTTGCTATGCTAAAAGCAAGAAAAACAAGTTTTTTTTTTTAATCAAAATATTGAATGTCCTAAAAAGGAGCAAAAAATTAAATATTCAAAAAATACTTTCAAAGTTCCTCTTAATAATAACAATGCTTTTGACGTTAAAACTCTTCATTACAGTATGCTAATTTTTTAACATTTTCATGAAGGTACCTACATTACAGTCAATTATACATAAAGAGAATAATAATAAACTTGCTTGCCTGTATGTCTTTGTAAAGTATGTATTAATCTATTCAATTTACTCAAGAGAAAGAAGTTCTTGAGTGGGCCAACAATGTCACTGAATTATGAAAAAATCTCTAGTGAAAAATAGCTCTGCAGTCAATGAAATACATTTGTAGAGGACTGTGAACAGTAATAATAGCACAGCTAATAATGGAACAAGTGATAACCTTGATCGAGTGTTACATGGAATTGGTCACAACATGAGATTCTAGTTATTAAATTCTGTTTTTAAAGGCTGATATAAAATGGTGTACTTATATCTAAACGTATCTGATTTTTATTATAATTGCTTTTCATAAATTTTAAACGTATAAATTTATATTAACAAATGGAGGGAAAACAATTCTTTTTTTGCTAATATTAAATACCATATATACTTGTGTATCATGTGACTTTTGAAGACCTAATTTTGAAGCTAATTTTAAGGGGGGTTGTATCATACACGAGATATAAAATTAGTGCATGTACTGTTGGCCCTGGCTATGCTGTTGACCAAACTATATCTCCATTTATTATAGTCAAATAGTACAGCTGTATTTAAAATAAACATGATTTTGATAAAACTGATATTTTTACTTCACTGTATCCAATAATAATGCATGTAATATTCACATATTAGTATCATATTATAAAATACAAACATAGCAAATATGCATCTTTTCTGTTGTATATGTTTATAAGATGTTTAGCTGTTTCTCATTCAGTTGTTTATGGCTGTATGTATTTACGTAACAAGTATAGTGTTACTAACAATACTTTTATCATTCTCTTTTATTTTTTTTTTTAACTTATTTAACGAGAGGATGGGGGTAAAGAGATAGAGGAAAAAAGGTTAGCCTATTGTAATCTGGTCTCTCAAAAAAGGAACTTGTATGATATAAAAATAATTTTATCATGTATCTTGTATAAGTGAAAATTTGAGGATCACACAATATGTAGGATTGCTCATTACACAAGTATATATGGTAAATAAATAAAAGGTTACATATGATGATATTAAATGCATATTAAATGATATTATTAAATATTATTAAATGGTAAATAAATAAAAGGTTACATATGATATTTTTAAAAAAATTAGATTTCATTCAAAACCAACTTTTTTGCTAATAGTGTATATTTCAATAGACTTATTTTTTCCTATTTTTTCACTGGTGTCATTTTTTTTCCTATTGTTCCACTTGTGTCGTTTTACCATGCCATTATTACCTAAATTTGTAGAGGACATAAAAAAAAAAAAAAATACCCTTTAAAAATTTGAGGAATACTGAAGAATAGATTCTTGGTGAAATAATGAAATCAAGTTCAAAAGATATGTGTAAAGAGAATGAAGTCAAGCTAAAACATTGAATAACAAAAAGGTGAAAAACAAGCAAATAGTGTAGATTTTTTTTTAACATTGTATGGAAACTTAAGTATCCAAATTTCAGCAGTTAAGGCTCACCATAACAAGATTTTATATAAAGCCATTAAAAAATGACTTTATATAAAATCTTGGTATGAAAATCATCCTTATTGCATTCTAAACTAGAGAATTTCTCCAATTCAGTTCTTATTCTCAGCACATTAAAAACTTGTCACATGATTCTGTCTGATATTTCAGTGTAAGATTGTGGAGTATGAAGTCATTTTTACATACTAGATACAATATACATCTAAGGAAGTTCAAATTTAATTTACTGAAAGTAAAAAGGTAATTGTTCAAATATTTTAAGAAAAAAAAAGAAAAAAAAGTGATCATAAGAAAAATTATCACATATTTAAGTAAAAGTGAAATACTCACTGTCCAAAATTCAATAAAGTATTGTAGTGATGTTGCAGCCACATATAAACAGTATAAAAGAGAATATCCTAGAAACAGCACAAAATATTTGTAATTTGTAAATCCAACACAATTGTTTACCCTAAAATAAAAATAAAACAAAAAAGTCAGCAAATGAAAAAAAATTTTTTTTTCAAGTTGAAATATAAAATACTACCAAAGAAAACCAATGTTACATTTCCAGTAAAAAAAATAATTTGGTTAACTTTTTGGCTTTTAATCTTATTTTAAAATAATGAAAATGGTAATGACTTATTTTTTCTTCTACTTTTTAATAATTTTGTTTGGAATAATATTTAATCATCAAACTTGTCTTTTTAAACAAGTTAATTATGCAATCTTAAATTTCAAATTACGTATATAAAATAAATATAAATTCTCATGAATTTAGTTTGTATCTAACAACGTTATTAAAGTAAATCTTTAACTTAATTTAATGAAATGGATAATATTTTTTATGCTTTCTTATCTCTAGTATATACTTATAATAAAAAAAAAAAAAAATCATGTAAATGATTTATATATTTATAAGAAAAAAAAAAAAAAGAAAGTTAGTATTAAAAACGTATTGTCAACATACCAAGGACAATGATGATCCATCTTTAGAACACAACTGAAAAAAAAAACAAAAACATGAAAGAATATTAGACTATAAATTATATTAAGAAAATATAAATCAGCATTAAAAAAAAAAAAAATTTACTGTTCTATTGTAATTTTTGCATTTATTATATAGCATATTTGGTGAGGGTAGGAGTTAAATTTTTGAATATACTGCCTTCTGTCAAGTGCCACCTTGAGTTGGGCATTAATTTGTTGATAAATTAAAAAAAACAAAAATAGAACAAATTACCTGATATACTTAATACAGTGGAATCTAAAAACAATAACACCTGTTAATGTATTTTTATCATATATATATATATATATATATATATATATTATTTATTTAAAAATATGATTCCAACACGCTACATAAGAGTTCTCATGTTTCAAAACAAGAGCCGAAAACTTATCAAACCAGACTAGACGATGTCATCTTTCGCTTTAAATTTAGACACCCCAACCTTACCCTGACTTGACATCTGTGAATGTAACTGAGATATTGATACAAATTATTAACACCTTATGCCCCTTTTGTTTAAACAATTGCTCTAGCTGTTAACATAGAAATTTTGATTTCAATAATGAATATACTTATAAAAAAAATAAATTTCAGAAATAAATTATTCCAAAAAAATTTTTGCTTGAAGATGGAACACAGAGCTTAGTACTTTAATTCAATTTAATTCAAATAATTATATTGAAGTTTTAAATAATCTTGTTTTGAAACATGAGAACTCTTATGTAGCATGTTAGAATCATATTTTTAAATAAATAATTATATTTATGCTCTACTTTTGTATCGAGCACTATTTTTTTAAAAATAATAACAAAAATATTAAAGAACTTTGGATTATTTACCTAACAGAGTTCTTTTTTCTATTTTCTATATATTTTTTTCACACACACACATATATATATATATATATATATATATATATATATATATATATATATATTATATTAAAAATATCAAAACTGCTGAAGAGCCACAATGTATGGGGTTATAACCCTTTAGCATTCAACATGGTCAAATCCTTCCCATAAATATCGGTTCTTAAAGTCTCACTGCAAGATTTCCTGCATCATTTGCAATGATGTTGCCATATATTATGGCAGATTATACACTGGACGTGTTGAATGCTAAAGGATTAACACTAGATGAATATCAAAACAGTTGCGGTTGTTTCTAGTGGTTCTTATCTATTCAGATTAAGAGCCAAGGTTTACACTATCATATTCACTGACATTGACAATTTTTGCTGGGCTGGAAGAAAGATCTTTCAAACTAATGTCATTGATCAAATTAAAAAGAAATTTTTGGTAAAGCCTAAAGTAACTATTAACTTCAAATATCTGGAAAAGAAAATATCTGAATTTTGAATTGATCAAAATTAGTCAATTTGAATATAGAATTTGTCTCTAGAATGCAAAATACTCAAAAATAGAAATGTTCTAAGAATTGGATTATACTGATGTAAGGAATTAAACTGATTAGCCAACCAAATCAGACCATATGATGTGAGTAAAGTTATCTAAGAAAGCAAACTTGGAACTATCAGACAAGTAAATAAATCTGCAGGGTTAAGAGGAGAACCTCAGAGACATGAAAGTGAATCATGGAGGGTTCCCAAAGAGGATATATAATCTTTCTTAAATGGTGGTAATGCCAACTACATAACTACTTCCTGCATTGAGATATATCTTAAGAATTGTCAAAAGTATACAGGCTGCTGAGATATGAGAAATAATTTACATGTGCCTGTATTTTATATATATTAGGCAGCATTCTATTTATATTTATACTTTCCAGATGTGTAATCAGTTTCTTGATGTTAGGATGATTTTTATCAATAAAGGCACCATAGTTCTTGTTAACCCAACTACTTTTGATCTTTTCTAAGATCATTTTCAGGGATAAATTACAATTTTTCTTGAGTCAGCAGTGGCCCGAATATTAGTATGGAAAATTTAGTGTCTTTTTTTGCAGTAAAAAAAAAAAAGACATTGTTATGGAAATTCTTGCAAAAACCTAATTGTTAGATTTTAATTAAATTTTCAGGACTTATTAACAAATGAAATTATTTTTTTAAATATGTTTTTAGAAAATCTATATCTATATATATCTATATATTTATATATATATATATATATATATATATATATATATATATAATATTTACCCACACATTAAATTTATGAAATTTTGGGAAATTTAAATTTCAAAGTCTTTGGACATTTTTGAGAATTTAAATCATCGATTTATTTTTGTCAATTAGAAACACCATTTACCAAAAATCTGCTCTGAATTGTAAAATAAATGCAATAAAATTATGACATTGTTTAATTAGAAAAGTTTTTAATTGCTTTTATAAAAAAGATATATTAAGGACACTATTGTCTTAAGAAAAACATTTTTTGATGAATAATGAATTTTTACAACAATTGTTTTCATTTTTTTTTTAAATTTTAATTGAAAAATTTATTAAAATTTATGCCTTAAAATTTTGTATTAATTTCAGCAGTTTTGAAAACTATATTTACTAATCATAAATAGAAAAACTTAACACGAATCATTAAACACCAATATTTTAAAAATAATTTTGAATTTTTTTTTTAGTGTATAAATGTGTTGATTTTTTTTTTTAAGTATGGGCAACCATACATGACATACTTAGAAAATAAGAATGATGACCAGCAAATTTAAAGCCAAAATTTCTAAAATTTAATAAAACGTTAGATTATGGAGAATATTTTCCTAAATTTTTAAAGATTACTGAGTATTTAAAAATTAAATAAAAAAGGCATTCATATCATTTTCTTTAGTTATGTTTTATAAATAAAGTCTCTGTAAAACAATATTAGACCTGCCATTACATTGTCAGCTACTGTCAGTTAAAAGATGCATTTCTCTGACATTTTAAACTTAAATAATATTTATTTCAAATTGGATTAATTATACTTTAAATCAGCTAATATTCAAATAAAATTTCAGAAAAGTATATTTTATTTTTGGGAAATTTTTTAATAAAGAGAATTACATTGCAATAAAAGACTACGAAAAAGTGGCCCAAATCAGTTATTTTAGGAAGAAAAAAAAAAAAAAAAAAAAATTCTTCCAGTCAATTTAAATTATTTTTTTGAAATACAGCAGAGTATTTTGCTTATTGAAAATATTAAATTTAATCTATTAGCTTGAAATTAAAACTAAAATAAAAGCCTCAAGAAAGATTTTTCATTTTTAAAAATTCATTTTAAACCTTAGGTATTGTTTTTACTTTGTTTTTTCTAGAGGCACAGTTGAGTAATAGATAGCAGCTCAGATCGAGGAATCAGAGAACTGAGTTCGAATTCCACTCAAATCCATTACATTCACATACATGCTAATACACTTGGGAAAAGTATGAATCCTCTTCTCCCCCCCCCAGCTATGGGTAAATAGCAAGACAGACCAGGTTCTATAGCCTTGGATGGCAACTGGTCTACTGCAGAAAGAAATGGCAACCTACTACGGGAAAAAATCTGCCTCGTCAGTCATGTATCAAAAGATACATGATCACCTAAGTGTGTATCATGCATGGTACATAACTGACTGACCTATCTTTATATGATTTCTCTGCCTCAATGCAAAAGTTGTTAAAAGAGGAGTTTTTGACATTAAAAAAATAGTTTGTTAACTTGTGAACTGCATTAATAAATTTGCTGAAAATATTTTTTGCTTTAATACATTATTGCTAAATCTGCTGTGAGTTTTGTCTAAAAATTACATTCTAATAAAAATTCTTAATTTTTGGCCTGTTAAGAATGAAAATGCATCTTATATTTTTTAAAATACAACACTGGTATAATACTGTTAAATAAAAAATTAACAAAAAACACTTACGCTGAACAAACTGAACAATGATGGCATCTATCTGGTTTCAGACATTTGCATTTTTCACAATAACGTGGTGCTGGCAAAAAAAAAAAAAAAAAAAGTTACTAGAAGACATTATGGACATTGAGAAAAGGGTTTTTTGCTTTCTTCAGTGACATGGAGTTCATATGTAAGAATGTAAAAATTGCTTTCAATTGTTTGCTTTAGTTTATCTGCTGAATGTACTAGGCATATATAAAAAAGGTATACACTGTGTTAAAATTTACTTTTAAAATAAGTTCTATAATGGAAACAAAGCCCTAAGAGAGATTCCAAAATTCCATAACAATGCCATCAGTTTAAAACAATGCTATAACAATGCCATCAGTTTATATAAAAAAAAAACAAAAAAAAACAAAAACAAAAAAAAACTGAGGTTATTTAATTTATAGGAAGTGTATAGAAAGAGCAATACAAATGCAAAAGGATGTATATCTATGTTTTATAGGTTATGCAAAAGCATTTGATAAAGTATGTCATAAAAAAAAACTATTTGAACTGCTAGATAAGCTTGAAATATTTGAGAAGGATATTAGAATAATCCAGTACCTATACTGGCAACAAACCACCTGCATATCGATAGAAAATGAATTCAGTAAATATATAAAAATAGAAAGGTAATGTAAGACAAGGATGTGTCTTTTCACCGGACTTATTCAACCTATACATTGAAGCTATTCTGAGAGAATTAGATGTTCTACCAGGATTCATTATTGGCAGCCACAATCTTAACATATATTCAGATGACACAGTGTTAATAGCAGACAGCAAAAGGAAACTACATTAACTCCTACAGAAAGTAGTGAAGGAAAGCAAGAAGAAAGGACTAAACATCGATTACAAGAAAATGGAATGCATAGTCATTATCAAAAGAAACGACCCAATATACAATTTACAAATTGGAAATACCAAAATCAAACACGTACAACAATTTAAATATCTGGAAAGTGTTTTAACAGAGGATGGAAAATGTGAGACTGAAGGCACATTGGGATAGCAAAAGATGCTTTCCAAAAGCTAAGCAAATTAAGAAACAGGAAAATTTTGTTAGGAACAAAGAAAAGAGTAGTGAACTGTTACACAATATTGATCCAACTATGTAGCAGTGGATGCTGGATGATGAGACTTGAAGCAACAGAAATATGGCTCTATTGAAGGATGCTGAGAATAGAATGGACTGAACATGTGACCAAGGACAATGTTTTAGAAAAATGGAAACAAAAGGAACACTTATACATAAGATTATAAATAGAGAGAGTAAAAATTTCTATGGAACAAAATGAGGAGAGAGGGTTTAGAAAATTTCATACACACAGAACTAGTTGAAAATAAGAGGGACAGAGGAAAAAAAAAATGCATGACCTACTTAGTGTGCCTCTGTAAATGGATGGTAGAACAGGGTTTAGGAGAAATAGCAAAAAGACAAAATTTATTAAGAGGTACAAAGAACAGGAAATTGTGGAGAGCCATGATCAGCAATATCCTGAAGAGACATGGCCTAAAGAAGAATTATATATGATATATTATTTACAGTCAGGCTAATTTCCTCATTTCCTTATCACAATTTCAAATTAGAAATTCTATGCTAACAGTTTCTTCTCTCACTTCTGACTTCTTGTTTTCCAGTCAACCTTTGATCATCAAAAATTTAAATGTAATGCCAATAGTTATCTGTCTTAATTCTAGTTCTTTTTTATCCTTAATGTTTTTCTTTTTCTTATATTCTTTCACTTAGTAGTCTCCTATGACTTAGTGGTTTGTTGCCTTACTTGAGACGGGAAGAAAAAGAAAAAAAGATGAACCAATACTCTATAGTCATAAAATATTTTTTCATGCTATTCCACACAGTTTCTGGTTATTTTATTAGCTATAGAATTAATGAATTTTATTTCTTTTTACCCTACACGCAGGCCACCAATCTGTCATTGGATGGCATGCCACTAGCGTTTACCACTGGTGGCTCATTGACAGACTGACGGTGTTAGCGGGTCACTAGTGGCTTGCGTGTAGGGTAAATACTGGAAATTTGAATTATCTAATACTAAGATAATCACTTTTTTTTTTCCACATTTCAAGTTCTAGTAAATTTTAATAATTATATATTAGTAAGAAAAAATAAAAAGGTAAATAACCTCAATTTAAAGAAATATTTTTTGAAATAGAAATAAAATGCAAGTTACGCTAATTAATTTTTCTCTTATGTTTAATTTTTTTTGTTCATAATTTTTTCTTTTCTTTTTTAAAAACTCACAATTTATATTGGTCTTAAGATGAACTAAACCAGTTTACTGAATGGTTTTCTTTAAAGGGATTCTTTCAATTTTCTGTTGCTGGATTCAATCATTTAAAAACATTTTTGCCATTAGAATTATTGCATAGCTTATTTTGATTAAGAAAAATAAATATTTTGAGGCGTATTTTATAATGAAGACAAAGTTATTGGAGTTTTTGTACTTTTAAAACCACTTCCAATGCCCCCCTCCCCATACCACCACCACCACTCATGAAAAAAAAAAAAAAAAAAAAATGGTTTAATTCCCATTGTACTATAAATAAATAAAAATATTTTGAAGAATATGAGGGAAAATCCTTCAAACAACATTTATAACTGTTGGGTTATATTTCATTTGTGGAAAAATTTTCTTCTTTAATTTGCAGATTCAAAAAAAAAAAAAAAAAAAAAAAAAAAAAAAAAAGGATTATACTTTATAAGTATGATTAGAATATGAGATCAGGTAAATATATTATCCATTTATTAATTCTCTAACAAAATATAAATTTAAAACATTTTTAAAAATTATTTGTTTTAGTTGAAATTATAATATAAAATATTGTTGACTTTTCCTAAAACTGAGCAAAGTTATCTATAATATTGACAAAACCATTTCAAACTAAGCTTAATAAACCTTTTAGCAGCGTTAATAATGATCCCTTACATTCAGAGATGAAAAAAAAAAAAAAAAAAAGAAAAATACATTTTTTAAAAATAGAGAAAAATTAAAAACTTTGAAAAGTTACATAACTGCAAAATGTTATTACAATTTTAAAATAGGTTAGATTGACCTATTTAAGGCATTTACTTTTAAAATAGTTATTACTAATAAAACAAACAGAAGGAAAAATTAATGAGTAAAATGTCAAAAAAAGTAGTTTACTTTGGTAATAATAAAAAAAAAAAAATGTAAATATTCATTACTTTGGCTTGCGAGTAGAAAAAATATTTTCACTTCAAATAAGTTAATATTTTACATAAAATTTTCAATGTATGAGCAATAAGTCATTTAATTTCTAGTCATGAAAGAATGTTTTAAGTGAATTTTAGAAAAAAAAGTCATATTTAATTCATATTATTTAAATATTTCAAACAAAATGTTACCAGATGTTTTAATTTCAATCAGACAAAATCCAATGGAAAAACTTCCTCATAAAAAAAGTCCATCAGTTTTAAGTACAAAGTAGAACAAAATTCCCATTTTACTTTCCACATTTTTATTTTAAGGTTTTTAAGGGCTTCATATTCTAATCACCCATTTCTAAAACATATGCTTTTTAGTTAAAGTAATTTTTTTTGTTTAAAATTTATTTCCATTTATTAAATATGAAGTTGAAAGTAGAAAAAAAAAAAAAAAAAAAAAACATCAGTTTATAAGATTAAAATATGGAAAGAATGAGTAGAATACCCTTAACATAATGTTATCCTGAAATAACATTGTTATTTCCTTTTTGGCAATCAAAATAACATTTTAATATCAACAATACATGACAGAATTAAAAAGGATCCAGGTATATAAAATTAAAAGTATATTTAAAATCAAGTCTTTTAATATAAAAAAAAGTGTTTAGTTAATTTATGTCATGGATAATTGTAAATTAAAAAAAAAAAATGAAAATAATTGATTACAATTTATAAAATAAATGAATAAAGGTATTTTATTAGATAAAAACGAAATGGCACCATTATTAATATCTAGAACAATTGCAGAAAAAAAGTGATAATGAAAAAAATCATTGGCAAAGTCATAATTATGGCTTGTTGGTAGTAAAATGTTTGAATATTTAATACGTAAAATAAATATTAAATTTATAAGAAATAAGTAATATTTTCATAAACTAGTTTCTTAGAATAATTACTATAAATTAATGTTATTAAAATATTCAATTATTATAAATTCATTATTATTTCTCAGCTAAGGTTTTCTATTTATTTTACACATTTTCAGATTATTTTATTGTATGCTTATTTTTTTAATGCTTTTATTCTAACATTATCAACTTGGCAGAGAAAGAGAAAATTCTTTTATTGAAATAATAAAACCTTTAGTATGAGTGACTTTCCTACCAGGTTTTATTTGGCTAAATATGGAGAAGGAAATTATTTCACACAATTAAGTGGTTCAGTGTAGTTAAAAGCAATAAAAAATGGTGAAGATCCATTATAATGTATCTGTCTATATTTCTGAGATGAGGTATTATGTACACTATTTACATTATTTGGACTATTGCCCTCATTTTTGTCATTATATTTATTACAATCTGAAGAAGGCTAGAGTGTACAACGGCCGAAACGTTGTAATAAATATGGCGACAAAGATGAGGACAATAGTTCAAATAATGTAAATAGTATCCATTATTAATGTTTATTAAACATTAAGTTTTTTTTTTAGTTTTTTTCTAAAGGCAACCTAGATAGCAAAGAAATTTTCCTAGGCTTGTGTGTATTAAAAAAGCTATTTTCATTTAAAATGGTTAATATTTTGATTAAATAATTCATTTAATAAATCTTAATGAAAAAAGTAATATTTTAATAAAATAAATAATCTGGCTTTAGGTGTTGAATAAAATGTGGCCATCACAAACATTTTTTTTTTTTAATCATTTCATCCCAAGCAAGGCGATAATGTCATTAATATACAAAGGGCTACTGAAAGTTAAAGAGAATGAAAAAAAAAAAAAAAAAAAGACTTTAGAAGCAACCAGAAATCCAATCCTAAACAAGAAAAAAGAATAATTGTTATTTCAATCTGTATAAAGCATTGT